TCCTGCCTAGGCAGGAGGTTGGACTAGAAGACCTCCAAGGTCCCTTCCAACTCTGTTATTGTATTGTATAGTATTTATTTAATGTACATACTGCTCTTTGCAAAATAAAGCAGTTAGTAGAATTAATAAAATAGAATAACTGTTGGGAAGAAGAATGAGATTTTATCCATGTCCTTTACATCAATGGTCCCCACCTTCACGGACCAGTAGCCATAGCAGCACTGTCGCTGGTAGTGGGAAAAGGAGGGGATGGTTTTACACACGCAACCTAGCTCTCACACATATGCAAATGAAGCTTTGCCCGCCACTTGCCAATGGGCCATGGACCAATTTAGGGGTTGGGGGAACCACTGCTTTACATGGAAGCGACAGAGAAGGAAAGTTCTAGAGAGCTAAAATAAAACACAAATCACAAAAATAATTCTAAAAATCCTACAGCTTCAAAATCAACACCAACGTTATGAAGCAAAAAAACTGAGCAAAGGCTTAAACCTTAAGCAAGAAACGAGGGAGAAAGAAGTTATATATTACAAAGGAACACCAAACCAGATTTAGTCTGAATTTTTAAACATGATGCAATTATGAAGGATTCCTAAGATCAGTTTCACTAGAAGTTCAGTTACTCAACTGACTGACCCTACATACCTCTTCACGTCAATAAAAGTAATATAATTCATGCAGGCAGACATTATCTTAAAAGAGGCACTCCCTTGCTGAATGAAAAAGCAGAAAGTCCGGTATAAGATTGTCTTTCATTCCCCACCTCTTATGTTCTTACCTTTAAAATAAACAGAAAATTTTAAAATGTTGCTTCTTGATAAATGGGTTATTATTGATCTACTACTAAAAAGTTTGTTAAGTTGATGAATGGACAGATCAATTCTACAGAGAAGGAAAAGGAAGTAATGGAGGTAGAAGAAAGGACTCCATAAAGCTCTTTGGGCACAGGCTACAGGACAGAAAAGGAGTACAGACAGTCCTTGCTTAAGGACCTCCCTGTTTAGTGACTGTTTGAAGTAACTGAAAAAAGTAATTTTATGACCTGATCTTGCACATATGAGTGTCACAACATTCTTGCAGTCATGTGATTAAGATTTGGGAGTAACTGGTAGGCATTTACAGCTGTGCAATTGCCATTTGCACACTGCATAACCAGTTTCCAACAAGAGTCAATGGAGAAACCAGCAGTAAACTCACAAGCCCTGGTCACATAATGTCTGAGTTAACAACCACGTCACTTGGTCATAAGAGTTGCCAGTCCCAACTGAGGTCATTAAGCAAGAATGTTGTG